CTCACAGAAAGCACTTTGTTGCTGCCAAACACATACTATTAAGTCGATATTTATTTAAATTTGAGCGAAAATCATGAATGGAGTGGAATGTTTTTTATTTTTGTACTTGTGCTAAGCTTTAACAATTTGAAATGTTACTACTTATTGATCTTGCCACTTTAGCAATAACATAAAAAATATTTACATATTTTTCAACTTTGACTGAATAACCAAAATCCTTTACCATCGACTTTAAAATTTTTATCGTCAAATTTTACAACGCGGTTGGCTGACTACACAAAAGGCGGGAACTGGTCTGGGCGCAGAAATTCCTTTCAGGATTTGCAGCGGCAAATGTTTATCTCACGGATTAAAACTTCCATCGAAACCACGCTCCCGCGCTTTTGATCATGCATTAGTCTGATGTAAGTATAAATGCATTAAGATCATCGCCGGCGAACATTGGGTGGCGCTTTAGGCCCATAAAATTAAATCCTTGTTACCGAAAGTAATTGAAAATAATTGTGTAGTTATTTGTCAGATATTTATCTTTGGACGTGGATTTTACCACATAAAGCTCCGATGGATATCTAATAGAGTAACCTCATTCATTATTTCTGTCATCCTGTAAATACCATAATCCGCGATCTCTTTGAATGACCTCACTCAATTTCTATTTACGCTACGTTATTACAGTCCAAAGATCATTCAATTCTCATATCGACGGAAATACTTCAGTTTTCCCGTTTGGTCCGTGAATGTTTCTTTATTTCCGGATTGTTCGGACCATCGAACGGTGTCGTAATTCCTCGATTGATTGAAGGCTAAATCCAACACGGTGCCAGGCAATACAATGCGAACTCATCGCCAGAAATTCGAAACTGCATTGCGTTTTAATGGAAGAGCTTGGGAAATTATTTTTTACAACTATTGGTTATACAACATTTTTTTCAATATTTATTTGTTATATTCATAAATGGGCTTTTCTGTGGGTTAGTGGTTAGAAGTCGTGCTTTCCAACCAGATTGGTGCAGGTTTGATAACCCTTCGAACGGCTTGATGTCAAGCAGTAATAATATTCGTTATTTTTTGGAAATATATTTCCAGGTAAAGATAGCCATTTCTTTGCATTACTGCATCATCACTATTAGAAAAATGCTAATAGTAAAAATGCATCGAATATTGGCAGGTCAACCAATATAATTGCTTCAATAATTTATATAATATATAATAGTCTATAATTTTTATAGACTATTATATATAGGTAGTAAAGAAGTATAATCACAACAGTTTAGTAGTAGCTACCCTTACTTTATAACTGCTATATAATAATAGAGAAAAATCATAAGGTTTTATTTGTTTATATTCTGATTGTGATTTAGTTTGAAGAAATTTATTTAATAAAAATAAATTGTTTAACAAAAGTAAAAAACTGTATTATAATCGATCATTTACAAAAGTCGGTATGTCATGACAATCTATTGTTTTTATGATTTATGATCAAGGCTGACTCGAATTGCTACAATTTGAAAGAATAAAAGTTTTTTCTGTAGATTTAGTTATAACCAACACTATTTTTGTATTTATATAGGTTTTTTCTATAATCAATAAATAAATTTGTAATTTGTAATTCGTAATTTAAAATAGCTGGTTAAATAACCTGAATGGGGAATAAAATTGGCAAAAGGTAGTATAAGACAAAAGTGTCATGACATTTTATTGTTTTTATGATTTATGATCAAGGCCGACTAGTATTGCTACAGTTTGAAACAATAAAAGGTTTTTTCTATAGATTAAGTGATAACCAAAACAATTTCGTATTTATATAGATTTGTTATAAAATCATTAAATAAATGTGTAATCAAAATTTAAAATAGCTGTTTAAATAACCTGATCGAGAGGGATTAAAAATGGCAAAATATAGTATATATACTATTATAGTAATATAAACTATTAATAATTACAAAACTAATTTGGACTCATTAATTAGTTATATTCGTGATACTTGTGATTAAATAGATGAAGTAATATTTTCTATTTTTATCAAAAATTTTATTACACAGTTCAGTGTTTACAGCTGCACGTTCCAGTATTTTTTTTTTCATTTTTAATTGATTCATTTTTTCCACTAGTACTATATTTTAAAGAGTATCATTAAGAAATTTGTGTTTTTCTCTTGTTTATTTCAGTGCAATACATCATATGTTTGTGAAAATTGCATATTTATTTATATAATTAATTAATCATATATTTTGTAATTTGTTGTATATCACTTCGTATTTTAGGAGTTTCTATTGCCTCTTTCAGAGGTTACACATTTTTATTCATATTTCAGATATTTCTTTTGTGTATCTGAAAATTTCTCTAGTTGTTTATAAAGTTCTATATTTTATTTCAGAATTTTATTTAACATTGTTTTATATAGCATTTGTCAAAGATTTCCATTCTAGATTTCAGAGATTATACATTTAAACCATTGTGGACAAATTTCTACTATGGCTTTTAACTGTTTTACTGTTTTACTGTTGCATATTGCACAGATTCGATTTTCGGTTCACAGATAGTTAGAGGTTTCTGTTGTATCTTCTGAATATTTGTACTATTTTTCTAACGAGTATTATCCCTTAAGAGCTCTCACTATATGCAGCTCAGGCCAAAAAGCGCGCGCTCCCGATGCCACCGGGGGCTTTAGTGATTCCGAATGGGCTATTAATTGCGCCTCAGTGATTCTTGACTGGGTCTTGCGTCGCCTGATTGTTTGGTAGACAGGCGCTCGAATGCGGGCAACGACAGAAGCGAATCGCGTTATTTAAATCATTATTTGTTCAACATGTTGAACATTTTTGCAATTTAATCACGTATTAAAATAAAGTTACATACGTCTTTTTTAATTAATATATTATTTTTCAACAAATAGATCTATATGATCAATTAACTTTATTATATCTACCTTTGCGAATAAAAAAAGTGTAATATAAGTATAATTTTATTTTACACACCGAAATACGATAAACGATCTTTACTTGTTACAAGAATATATTTTTTGCATATTATTAAATTTCAATATAATTCTTAGATATCGTCAGTGTGCATATGTATATCATTATGGGTGTTCTGGGTTCTATGGTATAATATATCATGGTGCTATATATCATGGTACTATATATCATATGTGTTCCGTGGTGTAATCGTTAAGCTCACGGATTCGAGTATACTGGTTCGTGAGTTCGAACCCCGCTCTGGACAATCCGACATCATAAAGTATCAATCAATGCCCATTTTTACTTGAAAATATAGATCAAAAATATGTTTTCTATTGAAAATAGTCCATTTTCGGGCACTGCGGTGTGAAATGGAAATGGAAAATCTCTCAGACAATTTGTAAGCGCCCGGCACAATATTTATTCAAAAAAATCAATTAAAAATGACTACACACGGACACTTTACCACCCCGAAGAACCAGATATAATTTATTATTAGAATGGTTATATCAGACCTTTAAAAATAAGTAGATTAAATAAGTTGGTTTAGTTATTAATAGTATTTATTTGTTTGATGTTCACGGTTCAAGTTTTGCGTACAGAATGAGGAAAAATTTCTTAAAAACTATCTTATTACCTAGAGCAGGGTAGGAATCGAGTTGACTCAGTTTACGGACCTGTCCTAAGGCAGTACTGCTTATTATTTATTTTCTATTATATTATCAGTATTAGGAAAATTCTAATAATAAAAGTATATCAAATATAGATAGCCCAACCGGTGCAAAAATGTGCAACCTATGGGATTGTTGTTCTGAAAGGCGCAATAGAAATCTGTGTAATATGTAACAAGGATTTTTTAAATATACAACAACAATTTCACAATCTTACGATGAATTCTAGTATAAAATTAAAAAGAAATTCAGATACATGTATTGATAAAATCTTTAACATAAATCTGGTCTCTGAAGCCGAAATAGAATTAGGAAAAGAAATTTCTTAAAGGTAGATATATAAAATATGTAGTAAAAGTTTAGATAAACAGCTAATAGTTATTGTCATTTTTCAAATTCGGTTTCAGTTGCAAATAAATTTGCAATTTTGCAAACGATTAGTTCTTAACATTATTAATAACAATATAATAAATGTAAAATATATAATATTAATAATATGAAAATCTACAAATAGAGACACAGAAAATTGAGTATGACAAATAAGTTCAATTAAAATTTTCAAACAGTAATTGGTGTAATATGTAATAAAAATTGAAATAAATAGCGAATGTTGATTTCATCATATATAAATTTTAATTTCTTATAAAAATCGACGTGCGTAAGGCGCATCCAACAGCTCATAGGACTATTAAGTTTTAATTTGTGACGAAAAAAAACATTACAATTTTTTTTGCAAGACACTCAAATGACAAAAACTATCCGCATTGTTTAATTTTTTTTTATTTTACCCAAGAAGTTGAAAATTTATGCGATCTATTCATATATTTGAAAATAAGCTTTATTGTTTACAAAAAAACAAAATTGTTTACAAAATGTTAAGTTTCATATAAATATTTTTACTATGCCTAAGTATGTAATTCAAAGATGCTTTCAATCGTTGGACCTGTCTTCAAGCGTTATCTTTACCATATGTATATTATTACTATGCCCTTAACCTATACTATATGATTCCCTTTCCCGGTTCGGTCCTCTGAAATCCATTATATGCACCCTACTCGTCACTGTCAACAACATGCGACCTTACGAAATATATGCTAATTTATTAGATTAATTATGGCCTATTCTTGTAATATGCATTATGCGGTGTCGAATATTTGTCGCCTGAAATTAATGCGATCATTAGAAACACATTAGGGGGGTCACCGATTAGAGACCGATTTGAAAATCCTAAAAAATTGATTAATTGTTCGTAATTGATCTCGTAAAAATTAGCTCTTTCAAAATTGCTCAATTTTGAAATAATATATAATTAATATATATATATATATATATATATATATATATATATAGACTTGAATGAAATTTTTACCTGTTTTCACTTGGTACTTGAGCGTTGTTTCACAGTCCTTGATCAATTGTTGCAATGGCAATCCTTTTTCCGGTATGTCCAGGTCCAAGATCCGGAACATCTCTTCTGGATGGTGGAAATCAAGCACCTGTAATATATTTAAAACAAAAATCAGTTAATTTTAGCCCTCTGTTTTTAGCAATTTAAGGAAAACTTGGTTCATTTAAAAATACGATACTTTAGCATATTTTGAAGTTGAATTGTAATGAAGGTTAGGCCGAAAATTGGTGAATCAAGTAACCCAGGTGAAAATGGGAAACCCCGTCAAGACTGAAAAGCTTATTATACGGGATAGGGACAATTGGTTTCAAATTGCAATAACCGGTGACAAATGGCGTATTATGCAAAAAGTCGTATCAAGCATGATTGTTTTAACGGGATGCTACTGTAATAATTTTTAATTTTGTGTACTTTTACCTTTTCATTTCGATCGTTCGTTGCACGAACGAAATCCATAAGAACATCGATTACTTTTTGCAAAAACTCTTTGGTCTGCGGTCCAGCGGATTCTTTGTAAGGCAAAAGATCTGAAAAATACAAAAAAATGTAAAATTTATAATTTCAACAATAGAAAACTATTAATCTCTATAGCACTGAACTATTATTCAGTATGTTCAGAAACACAAATAAGTAGAATTTTTGATAAATTATAATTATTCAGAAATATAGATAAGAATGGTTATTGAAAGTATGCATATCCTGTTATTATCATTTTTCTTCTCATTTTGTATGATATACAATTCCGCTTGGTTTAGTTAATATTAAGTGACATAATAAATCAATTCAAATGATATATAGCATATCTGGCACTTTATTAGTAATACAAGTATATTGTAAGGACAAAATTTTATCTTTAGGTTCATGTATATCATGGTACGATCGCCTGAGTGTAAATATGAGTTTATATCAATTATTTTATTTTCTGAGATACTGATTTCAAAAATTACTAAGAAACTTGTGTTGGTACGATATCCAATCCATTATCGATGTACTGTAATAAATTTGCATCAGCTCCTTTAAACCCGAATCATCTTTTCGTATGTCCTTTCCAGGACCTCGATGGCATCGTTTGTGTGGTCGTTGTACTTTATCTTACCCTAGGACTATAGAGGTTTAGACTTTAAGCTTCCTTAATGAGGATTAAGGTTTAGGTTACATTTTTCTCGTGGAAGTTAAGTAACTATGTTACGCAATAAGGTATGGTCAAATATAAGATTTTCACAGGGTTTGTAAGTTTACAACGTAAATTTGAAGTAATGAATTGTTTTTTTATTTATTGATAAATTAATTAATTGGTTTTCAAATAGTGCAATAAAATTCCAACAGACTATTGCAAAAAATTATGAAAGATATGGACTCTTACTTTGTTGGGTATGTCTTTATGTTAAATATAAATAATATCATATAAAAATTGTCATTTTACTTTTTTTAACCAGAAGTATGAATTTTTTGTACGGTTGAGACAGTTTTACTATTATCTAAAAAACAAGTAATGTTAGGATTTTAAGCTCTGGTGTTTTTTTTTACCACGACTCTGGGGTAAAAAGGACCGGGTGAAATTTATGAAAAAAACACATTTTTACAATTACCTAAGAGATTTACTGAACATAGTCAGATAGTTGTTTATTTGATATGTTTTATTTGTTTTTAAATAATAAGTTTGGTTTTTACAATATAATTGTTCTAAGCCAAAATTGACCTTTGTGCTCCGTCCTCTCCTATATATATAATATATTATTAATTTTTCCAGCCTTTCAAAAGGTGGATGTCGTATTTTATCACATGACGTAATACTCGGATATTAATATATAAATTATTATACCCGCGCAAAATTTAATTTTTCCAACAATTCCAATAGGAGGTGGTTGTCGTATTTTACCGTAGAGAGCTAAAGTATGATTTTTTCCAGAGGTGTGGGTGGCTTCGTTTGGGGTTGCAATATGTACGCGAATCGATACGAACGTTACGACCAGATGCTACCACTGGCTTTTTTTTAATATAAACTCCCTTACGAATCTCTTTGCACATACATATTTGTATATATGGAACAGCCCGCAGTTTTCACGCATAATTTGATTACATTGGATTTATATATAAACATTGCAAATAGCGAAGAAAAACATATTTTACTAACCGGAATATATATACATAGTTAAAAGAATAGAATCACAGTTTTCATAAGGACAAAATAAATAAGTAATCAGTATAAATAAATTTATACTATTACTGTCATTAATATAATAAAATTTATATAGTTAATATCTTTTTCTCTCCTCAATTTCCTTTTAATCAATTAAACCATTAATGCATGATTCTTTATAGTACTCTATATACATCTTTATGAAATTTACTCATAATAAGAAAATGTACGTTGTTATCACTTTCAAGTTTACTTATTAATTGAAAAAGGTTAGTATGATATTGAATTTTTTTTGGAAAATTGTTGAAAATAGTCTGAAAAGCTGAGCTAGCAAAGTGTCAGCAGAATCTTATTTAACAATAAATTGCAGATTTATTTCTAGCCCCTCTTTTAGATGTAAAATTCTCAAAAAATCCTCGAAGATTCTTAAAAATTTAATTTATTCAACTTATGAAATATGTGTTTGAACATTTTTGAAAAATTTGTTTACGTTTATATTGTAGATTCTGGTTCATCTTATATATTTTAATTATTAAACGACTTAATTATATTTTCACTACCAATCCACTCTTCATAAATCTGTAGTTCTTGAACATTTGCTCAAACGTTTTTGGAAAAAAGTATGTATTAACATTTCAAACTGTAATCTGGTCTTATATATTTTAATTATTAAGTGATTTTCATAGATCTGCAATCTTTTACGGAGTTTGTTTTGATCTTGAACTTTTGAAACATTTTAGAAACGTTTGCTCGAAGATTTTTGAAAAATTGGTTTCCATTTATATTTTAGATTCTGGCTCGTCTTATATATTTTAATAATAAAATGATTTTCTTATACCTGTAGTTTTTTATGGAATTTGATTTGACTACCAATCCATCCTACATAAAGTCTCACTTACAATTAGACAGGTAAATATGTAGTTTATGAACATTTGTTCAAAAATAAAACAGCAATATATTTTGAGACTCTGGTGTCTGCTATTTTTATGGGTATTTTTATGGGTATTGTTTTGACTAGCAATCTCTCCTATATGAAGTAAATCTGTTCTGTTAAATAAAAAATACTAAAATCATGCTCAAAATATTGATAAAATAGTCGTTTTTGTTCGAGATATTTATGGTGGCTCAGATATTACTGTTTTGCTTTTTATTATTTTTTGTTGATATTGAAGAGCCTTTCCATTAATATTTCTTATTTCTTATTTCACGATTGCGGTTCGAAACGCTTCTATTAATATTTCAATTTAATTTGGTTTTGCTAATTAGACTGGTTCTATCACTAATATTTAATAAATCAATAATAATTTTATTAGACATCAATATTTTAGATACACTTTTTTGTTTATGTATAAAAAGTCATAGCACACTTAGTCTATATTGGAGCTAATTCGCTCCAGATATAAATAGCAAATAAAATAATATAATTCTATAGGCTATTATGATAAAATTAAAATAAAGCTGACATTATTTGAGAAACCAAAAATGTACAGAAATCACTCTAGTGTTTGATTCCCTGATTAAAGCTAAGGCAGGTCCATAAGTCATCATTGTTTTGAATTTTTTTACTGGTATGTGGAGAACAGGTTTTAGTAACTCATTTGGTCATGATTCTCTATTAAAACCGACTACATAAATCTATACAATTTAAACATTTTAAATTTCACCAATGCACAAAAGCTAATTTTCACTGATGTCTACATCTTCCAATACCCTCCCTTTCCCATTGTTGTCTAAATTCGTGTCGCTTTTCTATTTACTCTATATTTGACACAGTGCAAGAGGGCTTTTGCGGCCTTCCTAATACCCCCAGCGGGAGAGCTCTCAGCCTTCGAGGGGCACTTCGACTCCATAAAGACTCGATGGATGGAATGCCCTCAAATCCCCTAATAAATAATCGTACGTCACGATTATGTACGAGGATCTCATTGTTTTATGTGCTGGCTGGGATTTGTAGCCCCGTGCCGCCGGAATTGACTTTGTACGATCCACATTTATGCAATTTGTTATTGTGAACAAATATTATAAAGATGAGTGTACGGCATTTAATGATTTCGTTTGGTCACATACATTTTTGTCGTTATATTATAATATACGAGTATGTACTTTGCTTTACCAGTATTTCGAAATATAATTATCCAACGTAGGGTAGGGCGGGGCACGAAGGTCCTATCATCGAATACCTTGTATCAAATGAACAACTATAGAACTATGTTTAGTAAAATGCACAGTTCACTCCTAATTATAGAAAAATGTTTTTTTACTATTTTTTCTAAAATTTGTTTTTTTGCTTCATGGGCGTGGTAAGAAGGGGCAGCCAGTACACAATCAGATCCAACGTTTTTTTTTAATTTTAAGAGAATTTTACGAAATAATAGCTACATTATTTAACCAACGTGAAATACAACTTTGATGGAAACTTTTTTACAAGGATTTTATTGTAGATAACCATGATCTGCTGTTTCATCACCTTAAAATATTCATAAGCAGAGGTCGAATTACTATTAATTTAATTTATCTCTTATAAAAATGCATTTTCTTTTAACTTAATTCACTTTTTTATGGGTCATTTATTATTGTTTCACATCTTTTTTAAAGGTTTGATTGTTTTTACCTCACCCACATATAAGCTTAATAGAAAAAGGTAGAGTATTTAAAAAAATGTTAAATTTTTCTTAAAAACAACAATACATCTCCCAAAGCGATTAAAGGACCGATTCTGCCGCATAACAGAAAAATGTTATGGCAAGGCCATGTTACACTCCAACTTCCATACATTATGCTACTGAATCATACTAAATACTGTCAAAATGTTATGTATTTGCTGTGCATTCAGGCGTTTTACACATGAACTGCAACGTCACTCGTATATTATGAAGTTGTGTCAGAAAGACCCTGTTACCGAAGATCGTTTTTTGGCATTTGTGCGGTTTCTAGGTTAGGTTTTTTATGTGACAATCAGAGAAATACGTCTGACTGCACACTAACCACATGGCTTTTGTCAATATTTTGTATGGAAAGTTCTTCATAACATGGCCTTGCCATAACATTTTTTTGTTAGGCAACTGAATCGGTCTCTAAATTACTTGAATAAAAATTCATGTAACATAAACTAAATACAAGAGTTCAAAACCAAAAAACTATAACTAAAAACATACTTTTGATATGAATATATTGATGCTTTTTTGTTTATCTCCTGATATCGACGTCATAAGAATTAAAATGATGGCTCGTTATACATAATTGCCTTCTACTTTAAAATAGTATTTCTAAAAAATTCTACACTTTGCTTGTTTTTGGGATAATGGTGGTGAACCTTTAAACTCTGCCCTACCCCATATATTAATTTGTAGTTCCAAATTTTAGCAATAAATCTTTTCAAATGTAGGT